TTTTACAAGTACTATCTGCTTGCCGATTTAATTTTCATTGCATTGGGTAGTGCTTGGACAAAAGAGAGTGATACCTTGTAAGCCAAACCTTGGGAATTTCGTTGCAAGTGTGCGGAGACAGGGACGGCGGGAGGGCTAAATCAATTTTGGTGTTTCTTCTCTCTGTTATTTTGGGGAATTTAGGGCAATCCAAAGAGAAATTCGGCTTGGACTTGTGCAAATGGGCTTGGACTTGTGCAAATGGGTGTTTATTCTCCCTGTAAAACAATGTTTTGGATTATAAAATAAAAAAAAAAAAACCTAGAAATTTTTGTGGGGCTTGGACTTGTGCAAATGGGTGTTTCTTTTCTCTGTAAAACAATGTTTTGGATTATAAAATTGAAAAAAAAAAACCTAGAAATTTTTGTGGGGTCAATTGAACCCACATGACCCCATGTGGGTCCGTCCTTGGTTATATATATCAGCGACCAAGTATATTAGTCGCTAAAGACGTTCACAAGACATTTTCATAACTCGATGTTATATATTTAGCAACCACGTGATTGGTTGCAAAAGACATTCATGACGATGAATCAAGAGATTCACTTTTACTAGCCACTATAATTGAGCCCTTTAGCGACCATAAGTTGGTCATTGTATGTTTATATATGTAATGACCACACTATATTGGTCGCTGAAATGAATAACTTAAACTTAATTAGAGACCAAAAATAACCTTTAGCGACCAATCTAATTGGTCGTTGGACCCAATTTTCTTTTGTAGTGAATATTGAAATGAAAATTTGAAGTTTATAGTATTGTCGGAATTTTGCTTAATAGTGTGTTACACAGAATTCATATTTCTTTATATAAGCCACTAGATTAGACTTCGCTGTACTTTTCTTGTCAAGGTACAATGTTCAACCTAGTGATGTGTGACACCGTTTTGTTTTGAGGGATTTCATTGGTTGGGAAGGTCTTCGACAATGGCTCATAATGATGCCTAAGTCATACCTTACAACCCAAGTAATCATTATTTTTCTTTGATGGTCACAAGGATAGTTTTGATGTCATGGGGTGACATCTTTTTCAGTTTAAAGATGATGATATTCCTTTTTGACATCTCATGTTGACTGCTTGTTGGATAGGTCCATTGTTCGACCTTCTACACTAACCTGTTCTTGATTTTTCTAACCAATAAGCTCTTTTGACCGACTTGAAGTGGACCCTTTCGGCACCAACAAAAAGAAATAAGGATGGAGGATGCACCAGTCTCTTAAAAATGATTTTTAAATGATTGTAGGATATTAATAGAAGATTTCACACTTGTGTAGAAGTGAATTTTTGAAAAGATAATTTATTGAATATGTGATTAAAATGTAGAAAAAAATTTATGAGATTGTAAAAAGTATTTTTTATTTTATTTATTTATTGAGAATTTGTAGCTTCAAATGAGTGTGAAGAAAATTTATTTTCAAAGAATCACGTTCACATTAGCATTGAGAATCCACTATACAAATTTAGAGATCAACTTGCTAAACAGATTATGGTTTTAGGGACCAGCACTGTTATTTTCCTAATTGTTAAACTTGTTAATGTGGAGGGCTACTTTGACAAGAGAGACGCTACATTACCAAGGCCCCGGTAAAGGAGAATAACCCCTTTGATAAACCGGAGATTTCATAAATGGGGATATTTCATATTTGATCACCAACATTTACACTTTCAGCATATAGATCCTCGACTTACATTATATTTCCATGGTTTTTCTCCAATAATGGAAATAATTCAAATTTACTTTTGGCCCATCATATGTATCTTGAATGTCTAACTTTATGAAATGAAGTTTTCTCATAAACTTGGAGGCGCATTCAAAAATTTGAACTGCGAAGTCAATGGGGAAGCCACATGGTGTCACGTGGGATCCATTGACCCCACAAAATCTTGAACTTTTTTTATTTTCTCCAAAAATTAAATTTTATTTCATCCCCTCTTTTGAGCACTATGCACGACTTTTCCTTAAAATTCAAATTTGAAATCACCAATTATTTCTCATTCATCCCTAATATCTAAAGTTTGTTAGTTCCAACAAGATTTAACATCTATCACTATTCAGTTTGTCCACGCCGATGCTGTTACAAATTTTTTAAATACTAGATCACATCTTTCTCATCTCAAGTTCAACCCACTATTAATTTTACGTTGTTTCAATAAAATTTACAAATTATTTTTTGACCCACAATGTAAAATTTCTGTGTATTCACTGTGGGAAATATTTCCATGAGGTTCTTGTATTTTTTATACAAGATTTAGACCATTTTCATAGTTGGAGACTTGTCGCGTCATCAACCATGAAATGTCAAATAATTTATCCTTTTTAAAGTTGGAGGACAACTTGTTGCTAGAATGATATTTAGGGGACCAATCGTGTAATTTGATTCTTCATAGTTCATCTCCGTCTGGAGAAAATCAAAAGTCCGCGAGAAGAATATCATCACTTGAAGAGAGAAATCAGAAGAAGCAGACAATATGTGCATTACAGATTGATTTTTCTTCTCTTTTGGGCTTATTTTCAGATTTCAATAACTGACCCAACTCTCAAAGACTTGATATTTTCCCATTCCGTGATTTTCTTTTGCTTAATATTACATGTAAGAACCAATGACCCATTATTTGTACACTTTTTTATTCTTTATTGCTCATAAATATGATGTAAAGCTTTGTTCTTTAGATATTTATGCAGTTATAGCTGTTTTTAAGGTTGGTTTTTGGTATTACTATTTGACGCCTTTCGTAGGTGATTCTTGATGAAGAATGCTATATGGGTTTTGTATATCATGCGAATATCTTGTTGTTTCTTGATTTATCAGAATAATTGGAAATCTTTGTAAAATTTGGTGAAAAAGAAAGCTAAGGTAAGTTTATATTTTGCTTATTTTCTTGCGGTTTTTAAGTTGTGAAGAAGTCAAAATTTTAGAATCTCATTATTATATTCTTGGAAGTAAATTTTAATTTAAACGTTTATTCTGCATCCGGGCTTTTCATTATTGTATTTAATAGGGACTCACAATTTATCTCAACGAGAGTGGGAATTACATTGGAGGTTTCACTTAAAAGAGAGATAACTCTGGCTTGTACAACTTTTGGTGGCGCGTGCAATTTTCTTTAATTTGAATTTGGTTTAAATTTTCTTCTTTTCTTTTTTTTCACATCACAGATTCACAGACTTGTGGTATCTGAAATTACAGTGATCATGCTCATACCTATGGCGATGGAGACAATAACAATTGTAAAAGAGGGTGGGATCCTCATTGAGTAGCAACTAGTGATTGGAATTGTTTAATGATTGGGTTCTTGCTTGTCCTGTGCGTCTTTCATTATTGAGGGTAAAATTTCATAATTGGATTGGTCACTAGCAGTTGAGTTAGTGGGGAGAACATTGTGATTTCTAGGTGTAGGTGATGATTAAAATTATACTCAATAGGCTCCAGCGGAAACAAACCAAGTTAGGGGATAATCGTGATGGAGGATCCTCTACTTTATCTTCAAATTCTTCTACTACTTCGAGAAGCAATAATTCTAAAAAGTCTTGGTCGGGCAATTCAAATGCTACATCTCTTTCAGGGATCAATCCAACTTCGAATTCTAGCCAAAAATCTAATGCAAAGTTGAATGGGAATGCAGTAGTTGTGTTTGAAGCACTGCCTAGTTTTAGAGATGTCCCTAATTCCGAGAAGCAAAACTTTTTTATGAAAAAACTGAATTTGTGTTGTGTGGTATTTGACTTTACTGACCTGATGAAGAATTTGAAAGAAAAAGACGTCAAGAAACAAACATTGGAGGAGCTTGTTGACTACATCACTTCGGCAAATGGGAAATTCACAGAAACCGTTATGCAAGAGATTGTCAGAATGATATCCATAAATTTGTTCAGGGCACTCTCTACTCGATCTCGTGAAAACGAAGTTTTAGAGGGTGTTGATTTAGAAGAAGATGAGCCCTTGATGGAAGCTGCATGGCCCCATCTGCAAATTGTCTACGAATTCCTTCTCAGGTTTGTGACTTCGCCGGAGACAGATGCAAAGTTGGCTAAGCAGTACATAGATCACTCTTTCGTTTTAAGATTATTAGATCTCTTTGATTCGGAAGATCCCCGAGAAAGGGAGTACTTGAAGACAGTTTTGCACCGTATTTATGGAAAGTTCATGGTGCACCGTCCGTACATTAGAAAATCTATCAACAATATAATCTACTGGTTTATTTTTGAAACCGAGAAGCATAATGGAATTGCAGAACTCTTGGAGATTTTGGGAAGTATTATAAATGGATTTACATTGCCGTTAAAAGAAGAGCACAAACTCTTCCTTGTCCGGTCGCTTATTCCGCTTCACAAACCTAAGCGTATACCTTTGTACCATCAGCAGTTATCTTATTGCATTACACAATTTGTTGAAAAGGATTGCAAACTTGCCGATATTGTCATAAGAGGCTTATTGAAATATTGGCCTATCACAAACAGTTCGAAGGAGGTGATGTTCTTAGGCGAGCTGGAGGAAGTCTTAGAAGCAACTCAGCCTCCCGAGTTCCAACGGTGTATGGTTCCTTTGTTCGCCCAGATTGGTCGCTGTCTTAGCAGTTCTCATTTTCAGGTTTGTTGTTTTACTAGGCTCAGCAATATTTCCTTACCGTTTATTTCTCTTCATGATTCTTTCAACAAGTTATGATAACCATCCTGGTTTATGGTTGGAGACCATTTACTGTTCACCTCCTATATACATATTTATCTAGATTACACATCAAATCATTTTAATAGTCATCATTACTGATTTTGATGCCTTGTAACTAAGAAACTTGGCAATTTTTACTCCTTTAATCTTATGTTTGTTGCTTTTAATTCTAGACCACTTTTTTGGTTCTAGTTCATTTTTGTTTTTGCGCATCATCCCAGGGTTAATGGAAAAACTAAGGAACTTATTTAGTAAAATTATTGAAGTTTAATGTCGAGTTATGCTAAAATATCATAGGCATCATCCTGCATTATAAGCACTAAATGTAAAGAGTAAACAAATATATGAGCTATGGAAATGGATGTGCTTTTTGTACTTGAAAGTTGGATGAAAACATTGGGTTGATTGGACATATTGGGACATGGAATGTGGTTCACACCATGACTTATGTTTCAATGGAAAGCGTCCATCAGTGAACTTTATGTTCAATGTTATGGTTGCCCTTCTCTCTTTCACTTGTTAATTAACCGCTATCTATCACAAGAAACATATTATTATATGTTTACTCAGCAAATTAAGCCCCCGTTTGGTGGCCTTTATTTCAAAAAAACTATGTTTTGAATAGTATTTTTTTGTAGAATGTGTGGTTGAAAGGTTGGGAAAATTTTGGATTTATGTGTATAATATTTTATTGTGTGAATGTGTGGTTGAAAATGAGTATGAGAAATAAATTAAAGTAAAAGCCACCAAACAGGGGCTAAATTAACTTGGTAGATTGTGTCCAGATTCAATGATGAATCCAGCAAATGTGGTAGTCATTTTTAGTATGTAAAGTACACTTGTTTTGAATACACAAATGTTCTGGTGGGTGGTTTTCACTCTTCTGCTCTTGCTAAAAATTATTAAATAGGCTTCTAAATATGAAGATTCTCTGATTTAAATAAATCTTTAATTTGATATTCTCCCATCCTGCTCTAACATGATTATGTGGCTTACCTTGAACTTTACTTCGATGATGATGTACTTATGTTGTAGCATTCGGTTTGTGTTTAAAAAATGTCAAAGCCAATTGTTAGGAAACCAGATGTATCAGAGCTACTAAGAGGATGTTTAGCTAAGCGTAGAAGTTACCTTTTTTAAGTAACTATTTTGCCAAACATGTTTGAGCTTTATAAGAAGTTACCATTTTCACTCTAGTTTTTTAGTGCAAAAACTTACTTTATAAATATAAGTATTTTCTTAATTTCCAAAAAAAGGTCTTAGTACTTCTTTTAAGCTTGGCCAAGCCAAGCATGCTCTGATTTAGTTTTGCATGCAATATTTTGGAAACTGTATAAGCTTTGTCTTTGTGCGTGTTTGGGAATGCTTAAATTAAATTTTTTTGGCTGAGGGTCCCAAAAATATGTGAATAAATAACGGGTAATGAGTTGTGTTCTACAGGATGTGTGGATAAAAAGCTTACTTGACCCACTTCAATTATAATTTAGGATTGGCTGATCACTCACTATAAGTGCTGCCAATAGTAGGTAATCACCGAATCATTTTAGACAAAAATATGAACTCCAGAATGCATTAATGTACCATGAACATGAAGTTTTGCTTGGATGGGAGAAATCCTGATTGTAATAACATAAAAATGGGAATATAATGAACTTCCCAGTTTTCTATTGATAAGTTAATTGAGAATGCAGCTTTCTATGACATATCCTTTTCTGTATTTATTGATCTAGTGCAGGTTTGGCAAAGCTTTACCTTTCTTTTTAAGCTGGTGAAACATACTTTTTGAACACACATTTCGTAGAACTTGCAACTTACTACCCACTCATTATCCACACATTCCGTAGGACACATACAACTTGTAAGCACTTGAAAGCAATCCCAAGCAAGCATGGAATACTTATTTCCAATCATAACCTTCAGTACTAACAAACTTCTAATTATGTATTTATGACTGTATGTTATGTTAAAATACCAATTCCCACTCAAGAGTCAGTCAAAATTCACAATGATGCCTTACAAACATTCTTAAATTTCCTAAAACATCTCTTTTGGTTAGAATATTTTTGTTTTTCTTTTATAGAGTTCAAACCTGTAGTTCTATGTAAAAGTCAAGTCATATATATATAAATTGTGGTCTACTTTTTCCTCGCACGTTCCATGTTGAATGATCTAAACTTATAACTAAAATAATTAAAATGGCCTGGCCTCATTTTAGTTTGCAAGTTTAAACCTTCCAATCCCCTAAATGGATATATGTGTTTGTATATATAAGCTTTAGGGTTCTTCACCTTTTATTAAACATCACGTGGGTTTTAGTTTAAAAATAATTTATTATAAACTTTAGGGAAGTGTTTGTGTCATGCATTGGGACACTATCTGTATGTTTGGTAAGCAGTACCGGAGATTTTGCTTTCTATTCTTCTTTCATATATTCCAGTACTATCTAGTCTTACCAAACATGTCTTACAAGTATAATATCGTAAACTCTGAAAGGGTTGCATTGTTGTACTAATCTCATTCTGTTCTGTATTATTGCTTTCTGAAATAAGCTGCCATTACTAGAATTATGTCAAAAATGCTTTCCGTTTTCTGTCCTAATCAGCAGTGAATGCTTGTTTGACACCTATTTAATTTATAAACATAATTGGTCTAACATATTTTTTTTCCGCACATTTCGTTGGACCCATAAGTAATACCAACTTATCCACGAATTGTTCCTATCTTATCATAATTTAAACAGATTATAATCACTTCTCAAACATGCACGAAATGTAACTGGATTTTAGATTTGTGGAAGTCCCTTCCCCTGACCCAGTTTTACTAATTAAATCTTACTCTTTATCTTATTGAGATAATTCAGATTATTAATACTTCCTATATATTTTGTACTCTGCAATTAGTTTATATGGCATTCTAGAGCTCATCTTTTCCTTGATGATGACTGTAATTTAAAATATTTTTAATTCGATAATATGCTTTTTAACTAAAAGAAGGCTCCATTTTCACACTGTACAATTCTTGTTTCTGCAGGTTGCAGAGAGGGCTTTATTTTTGTGGAACAATGATCATATCGAGAACCTTATCAAACAAAATCGTAAAGTTATACTGCCAATTATCTTCCCTGCATTGGAAAGGAATGCAAAAAATCACTGGAACCAGGCTGTAAGGAGCTTGACCCTAAATGTCCAGAAAATTTTCTCTGACACAGATCCCGAGCTCTTTGAGGAGTGTTTTCTCAAGTTCCAAGAAGCCGAAACAAGAGAAGAAGGAAATCGGATGAAACGAGAAGCGACATGGAAACGCTTGGAAGAAATTGCAGCAATGAAAGCTGCAAGTAATGAACCTGTGCTCGTCCCTAGCAGGATAAATTTGAACACACAATCAGGCTAGAGAGCGAAGATCTACCGTCGATTGCTTAGCTGATTGGTATCTATACGTTGTTCAGATGTATATGAGCTCAGAGTTGGAACTATTACCGAAGAATTTTTGTATAGTACTTGCCCACCTTCTCGTGCTTGACACTTTTGGCCCGTCAGGTTACACCAGGACTGTACATATGAACTCGGGGGACAAAACTATAGGATGTTATACTGTAGGTTATGGAGGAAATTTGTCAACAATATTGGTCCTCTTCAGTTTTTAGAATGCTGACTTTTGCAATTCAGACTTATTTAACCAGTGTCTGTTTAAATGTTTTCAGTAATCCCCAATTTATGTATGTTTTTTATGCGTGTCACCATAGAACAATGATTGGTGTACAATGATTGTGACAATGTGGCATGTTGTCATTAGACAGTTTAAAAAACAATTCATCTTTTCAACCAATACTTTGCAAAAACTTTAGGATACTTTATCTAATTTGGAAATATTATTACTATCGAATGATTGGTTATTAAACTGAACTTGGTTGTTGCTATCGCTTTGTGCCAATAGCCTCTAATCTTCATATTGTTTGCTTTTAAGTAGAAATACATCGATGACATGAATTGACAGGGTTGGAAAAATAGAAAAATAGAAGCATTGGGAATTAGGGTTTCTGAATAGTTAAATGATATATACCAGAAAGGAATGCACTGAGGAATAAAGATGGAAATATAACTTAAATACCACGTTCTAGAGTTTTAAAATCCTGTTCACTTAGTTGTTAATCTTTCATTCATGATATTTGATTTTTTTTTGTTCCTGCTACTTCTGTGTATGAATTTATACTAACTAGTTTCTTTCTCTTTGTTCTTTTGACATGGCGAATTATTATCTATTTATTACCACCTTCATTTATTGATTTGCGATCAGCAGGTGGTTGACCTATCAATGAAGAATCGTCTCATTTTGTGGTTATATCTGTAAAGCTGCATTTGAAATGAGGAGTAAGTGGATGTAATGGGTTAAACTAAGGAACTTGGTATGACTTCAAGAATTTTAAGGTGGGTGCATGGGTAGTTTATAGCCTCTTAGTTGACTAGATTTAGGACAATGCTTTTAAAGGAGTATGGGATCCATGTACATTTGAAATTTACTTTTGTTATGATTTCCAATTTATAGTGTTGCTCTTTTTTATATAGTCGAATCAACTCAAAGCAAATTGCTAATTTTTACATCCAACTTGTAGGTAGTTAGTCTCGTGCTTTTTCNAGTCGTATCCACTCAAAGCAAATTGCTAATTTTTCCATCCAACTTGTAGGTAGTTAGTCTCGTGCTTTTTCTCTTCAGCGTCTTGTTTCAAGGGATGTCTTTCTTCTTAGCACAAAAAGGGACACGTGTGGCAGTAGTCTGCTCCGCTAGACTGTCTTCCACTTTCTCTCGATCGTTTCAGGACGAAAGAAAATTTGATTACAATTTGTAGAAAGCTTGCAACATAAAATTAAGATGCATTGAAAGTAAATTGATCATTGATTGCTTGAAAGTTAGAAATTACAATAGATGAAAGCAAGAAATGATAATGGCTGGTGCAGGAGGCGAACACCAGTAAGTTTGAAAGATTTTTGAATGACTAATACTCCCTATAATAGCTTGCGGAACAAAAACCTAAGCGATAGGAGTAGACGTTTAAATGATGAGGAATCATACTACACGTTTACCAATATCAGAACTATTTTACAATTGAAATAAACTATTATAATGGAAAGGATATTAGGACTCAACCTTGAACTAATATTTACAATGTGTTGGGCAAACTGCGGCTGTGGTCCTTGACATTCTCCCCCATTTGTTTTAGCGACGTCCTCGGAGCCATCGATAAATGATATGCTTCAATTAATGGTTTGAAATCTCAAAGGTCTTTTTATCTTTCCCAAGTATTCTCCTTGCTGTTGCATCCGCTCCGTTTGACCAAGTACTTTTGATGATATTTCCTAGAAGCTCGAGTAGTTCAATGGTCAATAATCTCTTTACCAACCTTCTTTCTAACTCTTTTCAGTTTAAATACAGGTCGGTTTGGCTCATTTCTAGATGTGTCCTCCTTGTCAGCAAAGCAAAGGCTTGAGTACACCAACATGAAGGATCTTATGGATTTTGCACTATGAAAGGAGTGCAACTTTGTATGCGACTCTTCCAATCCTCTTCATGATGGGTAATGGTCCAATATATTTTCGCACCAATCTTGAGTCTTTCCCTCTTGTCAGTTTATAACAGTTTCTCTTAAGGAGTTTAACCATTACCAGATCTCTAACATTAAATTCAAGGAAACTATGCTTTAAATTTGCAGACTTTTTGTACCATTTCTAAACTTTCTCAAGATAACTCCAAGCAATTTCAATGTTTCGTTTCCACTCTTGAGAGAAACGTTTTGCTTGAGGAGACTTGGTACTTTGATCGATATCCACAGTATGAGGGAGTAACGGTTACTGGCCAGCAACAATCTCAAAGGGAGTCTTATTAGTGGAAGAGTTCTTTTG